CTGCACATAAAGAGAGGGCTTGTTGTGTGGTGGAGAAGACGGTACTGAGGGTGTTTTTCACCTGTAAAACACTAACAGTCCTCCACTGTTTTTACCTCTATAGATTATGTAAACAGGTTGCATAGGTCACTTTTATAATCTTGGATGTTCTGCATGCTTTAAGCCTGTAAATTAGTTTTGGGCAGACTGTGACAAAACCATTCAGCTGTTCTTGCTAAAGTTCACAAATTTATATAGCTGCTGTAAAGACATTTTATATCTTGTAGATATATATCTTCTGCTTTGTGAGCAAACCTGTGCTTGCCAAAGATCTTTGTGTGAAATCAGAGATGGCAGTGTGCCACTGTTGTTTCTCTCTCCATAACCAATGATGTAATGCAGTTTCTTCACAAGGGTATGGATGAAAGAAGTCTATTATTGCTGGAGTTAACTGTTCTTTCTTTGTGACTGACACAACGAAACTGCTAATTTGGCAGCTGAGCTGTAGGTCACGGCTGCGTTGTCAAACAGCTACCTCACCTTTCAAGTTAGAAATTCCATGTCCATTGTTGTTCACTCGTTTGCTGTCATTGCCTTTACTGTTGAAACAAGGCTCTGACCAGGCAGAACATTAGCTGTTCTTAGGTCCATGGGGTAAATGTGAGGCGGTACCATCGCCCCACTTTATATACATGTCACTGCAGTAATAAAGGCTACTCTGTGGATTTTATAGCTTTGCATGGAACACAGGTCAACAGTAGGAAAATCCATTGGGAAATCAAACACTTTGAGTCACTGTCAACAGTAATGAAAAGAAAACAGCCAAACAGAGGTGTAACACATTTTCTCTCTAGTGCATGGTTTTTATCCCATTTTCCAAGTTTTGACTTTATACTTTCTAGTAAAAAAAAAGAAGATGGCAGCTGAAAGTGACATTTTGTAGAATACAGGAAATACTATTTATAGTGTATTGTATGAAAATATAAAAAAGTGGAAAATAAATAAAGCTTTTAAATTTTGCAAAGCTAATTCATTTCTGGCTATGATATTAGTTAGGGAAATATATAGGCACTGGCTAAACTAGTTTAATGCAGAGTTTAACAATGGCCAGATAATGCTTCCAGCCACGGCTCTCGCCGGCACTGAGGCATTATCCTTTAGAGTTGTCCATCTGTCTGTCCTGTTCTTGTGAACGCGATATCCCAGGAACACCTTGAGGGATTTTTTTCAAATTTGCCACAAGTGTCCATGTGGTCAAAGGTCAAGATCAGTGACTTCACTTGTCGGTCGGGGGGAGACATGCAAATGCGAAGCAGTAATTCTACTTTATCATGTAATGGATAAAATATATTATGATTAGGATAAATGAACATATTTTGTTAAACAACTATTGGAATTTTGAGCAAATATTTTCCTCAATTTAACTTTTGGTGAAAACAGACCCTTAGCTCTGTGACTTGAATGTATTGATGAGCACAAACTGTTGTTAGTTCTAGGTGAATTAAGTTTAGAGAAATATATGTCATGCAATGTGAACACAATGTGTAATAGTATTCTTCATTTATAGCCTACATTGGCAATTTGGCTTGAGATTCTGTTTCTGTATCCCAAGTGTAGCCCCTAGAACAGAGCAACCACTAAAATAAACAACACTAAACGTTGGCTTTTAAGAATAAGTCTTTATGTATTTCTCTATGTGAAACAAAGGACTATTATACTACACAAATAGAAGCAGATACTATAAGAGACAGAGACCATCTCTGAGAAATAAGTACAGAACATGAAAATACACATACTGGTCTTATAGAACTGTAAATTATTGCTTGTTTTGCTACTTTGTTTTCTGGATTCCTACAATACAAGACAATATTTCAACAGAAACAGTACAACAGTGACAAACGGTATTGTTGACCTTTATAGTAGACGTTCTGCAGAAGTAAAAGAAACATTGAAACAGGGTCCATGTTGAACACAACACATGTTGGTCGAGCATATTCAGGACTTATTGTTACAGTATGCGTCAGTAATTTTCTATTATAGCATTGCCAAGAGAAGCTGTAACAAAACACACACTGGGTCAGACCTGTGCAAAACAAACAAACAAACAAACAAACAAAAAACACTTGGCATATGTACATAAATATACATTTTCATTTCAACTGTGACAATTTCAACACCACTGCTGCAGAGAGTAAAAATGAACCTTCACGAGTGTCGTTCCTCCTGCAAAGCTTCTTCCTCTTTATCGTAATCCACCTGGGTTCCACCAATCTGCTGTCTGCTTAGATAACCGCGACAGCTTTACTGTAGTGCCAATAAAACCGCGCTCTGCCAGCATGGTGCATTTCAAAGAACTGTTTAATTTTCTCAGAAGATAAGCTTGTGGACAAACACGCAAACAAAGACACTGGTTTTGTTCTGTTCATTGGTTTTGTCATCCTGCCTGTTTTTACACCCATCACTGTACTGCATGTCTTTTCAGTATAGTACACCCCCATAGATCCAAAAGGCCTGAAATTGTCCAACACTAGCAAAAACGACATGGAGTGTTTCACTCACTGCATTATGCTGGTGAAAAGAGTTACCAGGTGTTCAGCTTGAAAAAAAGAAGAAGAAGAAAAACAGAAGAAATGCAATGTGCTTCATATTTTGTCTCATGAAAGTCTATTTTATATCAAGGAAAGAAAACAAACAGACAATTAAGTACTCACATGCAGACAGACTTGTCTTTTGCTTACTAATTTTGTTAAATACCAAAAAGTCTTTTTAGATTTCATGCTGCCTACTGACAAATAAAACCCACTGCTGAAAAAAACCCTGCTAGAAACATCTGTTTGTGTTGCTTCTAAAGATGGAACATGTTTAATCAAGTGAGCACATGAAGCACACTGATCTAACATGGGACTGTAAGGTGCATTAAATAACAAAATAGTAAGGAGCTAATGTTTTTAAATGAAAATTTGGATTTCTACTAGAGAAAGTACTGCTTTATGTTAATATAAAATGAAAATAATGCAATAAAAAGTACTGCATGATTTCTTTCTGCTCAGTTCAACAATATACATCAGTGTTTTTGAGTAAGAAAAAATAATTTGGTGGTGAGTGAATGCTTTGGTTAACTTCTTATGAGCCTACCTAACTTTCCCTTTTTCTCAGCAAAATGCTTTCAGTTACACTATACAATCTAAAAGGACTATTTCCACAAATCTACTGCTTAGCTATTTACAGCAAGAAGCAGCACAGTGGTCTGGTGTGCAGCAGGAGCTGGTCAAGAGCTCAGCAGTTTCCTCGGAGATGATAAGAGATACTCTGTGCAAAACAAGCAATAGTAGGTTTCAGAAGAAAACCTGACACAAAGTAAAAGGATTTGATCAAAGAACACACCCAAGACAATAAAGATCTGAATTACAACAAACAGAATCTGGAAAAAAAACCCCCATCCCAAAACCCCTTGAAGAAAATGAGGGGGATGAACTGTCTCTGATCCATCAAATCCCGAACAAAGTGACAAATTCACATTTGCCATCAACCTGAAACTGAACTGTCAATCATAAAAACATCAATTCAGTTTTTTTTTTGTCCCTAAAATGTCACTTTAAAGTGTGCATGGAGCTATGCACCGGCGTCAAAGGCATCTCACCTTTTCCCTGTCATCACAAACAACAGTTAAAAAGAAAACACAACACCTCAGCTCCTCATCTACAGAAGTTAACTAAGCATGCAAAAAGTATCAGGGTATCATATACAGAGTAAGAATACACATCTAGTACTTGAGCAAAAACCAACACCTCTCAAAATAAAAAAGGCAAAAATCAAAAAACAATCAGGAAAAAAAAAAAAAATCAATCACCACAACTTTAGTCACATATGGCGCTGCGTGCTGTGTGTGATATTAAATAGGTTCCTTTTCTTGATATATTTTGTGAGTATTTGTATTTCTGTACGTGTTTTTTGTAATACAGTATATACATGCAGACAAGAGCGGGAACATCACACAGTCAATATTGATGCAAGCTGAAGTGACAAACCAGTAGAAATGAGAATGGATAAAAAGAAGAAAGAGTGACATGTATATAATATACATAATCTGAAAGGAGAATTATTGTAAAATGAAAAAAAAAGTTACTTTTAGAGATTATCGCATGTCCTCAATTTAAAGTTTTTGTACACATGACTGTGAGACGAAGGGAGAGGTAAGGCTAACAAGCTAACTCACTAACAAGCTACTGAGCAGGACTAGCAATGAAAGCTAGATGTGCGTGATTAGCAACAGGTGCCTGCGTTCGGACAGGTATTTCCACCCCTCTTGCTGAAAACGAAGGGGGTTTGGTGGGTGGAGGAAAGCATGCCCGCCGCTCCCCACGCTGTCTGCAGAATGTGATGAGTGTGTGTGTGATTCTCATCCATCCCCTACAAGCCGCCTCATTTCACCGCAGCGCTCCCCACAAACACCGTCTTCGAGCAATGTTTGTTTTTGCTTGCAGTTGAACTGAAATGAGGGGCATCGACGCTCTCTGTGATTGCAGAAACGAGAGAGAGAGAGAGAGAGGGCAGGTGTGTTGCGGGTTGAAGGGGCGGGCGGGGGCCGCGCCGTGTTGGGGGGAGGTGGCCTCTCTAGTTAAACAATTTTGGAGGTCCGTCGGGACGTCTGGTCTGAACGTACTGCTGCTTTGGCTGTGCTGCCTCCTCCTCCTCCGTCTCGCTCTCGCACACATGGACGACCACGCTGGGGGTGGACTCTGTCCCTGCGTGAAGCTCATACTTTTCACCTTGAACAGAGGGAAAGCAGGGATGGAAAGAGTAAGGAGAAGCAGGAATTACCATGAACAGTTTCCTACATTAAATACCCCAACTGTATGTGACATGAACAATTTGACAGGCAGTGGTGCATTTATTCAAGAAACATACTTAAAGAATCAGACAGGTGATATTCTTACTTGACAATAATTGATCAGTTCATTAAACAGTGATTAGCACATTTAAATCCAAGGGATCAGTAATAACACTCCTTTAAGAAACTGTATAAGATATGATGCTGCATAATGTGGGCTTATAGTTTTGATATACTACTTTGAGTATAATCAGTTATAGATTAAACTCAAGGGTCCAACACATAACTCACAACCTGCCAGTAGCTCGCTACCCAATTCTGAGCAGCTTGCCCTAAAGGTTCAGAGATTATACAGTGTGTAGCCTACAGTGCATAAAATAATATGCCATTGTATTTTATTATTTGATTGTTGCTACTATATTGAGTACAAAAATTATCAGCACAAAAGCAATCTACTGTTTTTCTTCTGTTTGAGAATGATTTAGCACTCAAGGGATGGACATGGATTCAACAGAAAACAGATGAAGATTCTTGGAATAGTCCTGCCATTTGTCCAGATGCCAAACTAAGATGACTCAGAATGAAAACATACACTTGTGAGATTGTATCACAGTTGCCATGGAGACGAGATCAGACAACTGGCAGACAGGGGGAAATTGGTCTGGTGGCTTGTCACTGTGGTGCCAAGCAGAAAGATGGGCAGTGGATAGTCCTGCTGTTACCGCAGGGAGTTGACAGAGGGAGTCAGCGTGCTGTGCTGCAGCCCAGTGCTAATCTGATTTTGGATGCCGGGATGTGAAGCAAAGAACAAAGCCATTTCCTGATGCCTCATGTTGCTATGGTAACAGCATAAAAGGTCAGGAATGGTCCTCTGGGCTAGACTGTATATGTGTGTGTTTAATCATGTTTTTGTTGATAATAAAAAAAGATAGTGCTCAACTTAAAACAGACCAACAAGTCATGTGTGCCACTTTCCACATACAGTACACACACACATAGAAAGACACTAGATATGGAACACCTTTTCCTGGATGTTGGGTGACATTTTATAAAATTTTCTGCAATCTAAAATCTCAAAGTCAAAACAGAGGAGACACGGCTGGCCAGGAAATCTACCTGGGAACAAGGCTGCAGAGAAAGATCCTCCAAAGCCACCTGTGCTGAAATGTGCTGCCTACACATTCAATAAAGTTACTAAAATTGTAATAGGATATGAACTGTAAAAGCTCTATTTATGGTGGAGTGAAACCAATCTACATTATGATGTTATCAGTTTGTGGAGCAGTGCTTCTCATTTTTTTACATAACTGCCTTTTTCATAGACTGTTTGTCCCATTTACAATACAGCTACATACATAGCTCCATTGTTTGGCTGAAAACAATGTCTTTGTCTCTAGCCTTTAGCCTACTGTAGCTGGTAAGCTAGTTAGCCAAACATGCTAACCATTGCAGCTTATGTTGGTTTCCTCCACACCTTACATACTGGTACTGATCAGTATTTCCTCTGAGATATCAGAATGCAGAAAGTTGTGGGTTAAGCACCTCTGGACATTGACGTGTGACGGCCAGCACCACAGATATGAGTTAAGGGCTTCAAGCTGTTTTTGTTTTTGCTGCCTGACCTGGACCACATGCACAGTAGCCCTGGAGCAGGAAATTCTATGTTGACAGCCATTTCACATAGACAGATCCGTTGTAAAATGCCACTTAATTCACAATGTCATTACAAAGGCACATAATGGCAGTGTTTCATAAACATGCACCTGTGATCAGGTAAATTAAACCTAATGCTGCTTCAAAGACATGACAGAAAACCCTGCATTCAAGAATTAAAAAGTGGTGATTCAAAACTGTCCACCCCAGTTCCTTTGTTCTAATTGCTTCCTAGACACATAACCTTTCTATAACACCCACTGAAGACCATGAAATGATTTCCTGTTTGTATGTGGGTTACTGTTCAGAGATGAATGTATCAAATTACACACAGCTTTCCTAGTGTTGTACCTCTTTGTGTGCCTGGCTTTGTATTTAATGTGTGTGTGTGTAAGTATGAATATTCTGCACAAACTTATTGAACCTACCAGGTCCTAGCTTGGCTACTGCACACAGGAGATCATAGTTGATGCCAGGTGTAGCATCTTCACTCTGGCTCCAGCCCACGGGTGGTGAAGCAGGCGGCGAGATCAGAAACTGTTTGACTGGCTGGGGAGGGGCCAGGTATGACTTGTCAATGTCCTCATCGCCATTCTGGACCTACGGGAGGTAAGATGACAATTGATAAGGACTGTAGCACTCTAAACAGGAGATACAAATGATATGAAGTGGGTGAAGCAGTCAAATTCCTCTGAAAGAACATTAATGCAAAGCTATGCAAAGTAAGTGTTTAAGTTCCTGTACTTTTTATACCTAATCCTGATACTTAAGAGCAAGAAAAATAGGTTAGGGATGCATTCACAGCTTCAGTTGATTAGTCTCAAACTGCAGGACTCTTCCCATGAGCAACTTCTGGCACTGTGATAGGTGCCTATTGCATTAATTACAATTCTTACATATGGCATTTGTCTTAATCCTCGGAGAGGTGCAGCAGAAGTCATGACTGTGGGTGCATTTGCGATAAAGCATGCAATTATAAGCTGACTAATAATTTCTCAGGAAGCATTCATTTGATATACAGCAGGCCAAATGATGTCTAGGTAACTGGGTTAAAACTGGGCTAAAGTGGGTTAAAGTGATCATTGCCATCTAGGGTACATGTAACATATTTTCAGTGTTTGCATTTCTGTGTTTTTCTGGACTTACCACACATGAACTGCCATTGAAACAATATAATTCAATATAACCAGCTGGATGTTGGAAAGCTTTGCCTTTTAACAAATTTAGCCCAGTTTTATCCAAAATGTCAAGGCAACTTTTCACCTACAGATTATAAAATCAACACTAACTCTATTCTTATCCTTGTAGGTATGACTGATTATGGCTGAGCATACTGTACAATCATTTCATTACAGCAGTCTTCCTATACTACAAAGCCACTACACTTTCTTTTTCTTCCTATTTCTTCCCCACAAAAAACATACAGACGGGAAATCAGGAATTTTTGTTTTCATGTGCACAGTTATGTGACTGATGGGTTTTGACAGGAGTGTTGGTGGGTGGAGGAAGCAGTCAGGTGTTGCCCTGATAACAGAAGATCAACAACAACCATAAAAATATGAAGTAAAAGTAAGGTGGAGTACTGCAGCGTAGTCCTCCTTCCCTGAGCTTTTGATCCTGTTGTGTGTATGTGCCTCTGTGTGTGCACTATGGAGACGCACTATGGCATAACTTTAACTTTCCATGTAAATAAGCAGTGCTCTTCCTTAGATGCTCCAAGTCCCAGGCCCCTTGCTTGCCCTTTCTCAGACCCCTTAACTGATACTCACTTGGGCAAAGTAGAGTTTTAGCTTCTTGCCGTTGAACTCTGACTCATGTAGCTCGATTCGAGCACGGGCAGCGGCCTCTGGGGTGCTGAAGTTGATTCGGACTCTCCGGAAGCTTTTGAACATCTGGAAAGTTGTCTGTTCATCATAGATCCTGAACAATGCCTCAAATCTCTCCTGGAGGAGATAAAAACATAGAAAAGTACAAACAGAATTAAAAATATATATTTAATAATATTTACATGGTTGTTCTGCAAGTTGTTGTTTAGTGTTTTGCCATATATAAGAAAAGTTACCAATGCCCACTGTGTGGCATTTTTGCTAAATAAATGACATAGAGAATAAATGAATGGCCAAAATACTGTTGATTAGTTTTCTAATAATTGTTTCGCTGATTAATTTCATGTCCAGTAGAGAAACAGAGCTTTTATATTCTGTTAAAGTGAGCAGTTCAGTCAATGTCATGTTCGATTTTACATGCTTAATTTTGTAAATAGCCTGTCCAAGTATGTCATACATGTATTGTGTATAAATAATCAAACCAAATTGTATTTTTTTACAATATTTTGGGTGAAAAGATGAGACATGTCAGGGTAAGCTAAAATTTGAAGGTTTAAGTTATTCACAGACACCTTTGTTTGCACAGAACGGAGGTGACTCGATCCCCTCTGCAGCCATTTCATTTGCTATTGAGTTAATGAGGAAACTTCCCTGCAGTCTCCTCTGACATTATCTCAGTCCTCTTTCCTTAATCTCCCTGTCCCTGTTTTAATCTTTGTTGTTCTCCCGTCTCTAATTGCCCTCCCCTCCTCCCTGTGGATCATACTTTGTCTTTAACGATACCCATATGATATATTCCCACATCTCCTGTGTTTTTTTACTCAGTCCTCTCCATGGACACAAAATTGGCCTCCTCAACTGTGAACTCAATCAAGCAGCTCAGTAGGAGGGCAAAAGGAAAAGGAAAAGCACTGCCAGGAGAGCTGGTTTTGAGTAATCAGTAGTGCTATTCTTTGTCTACTAGCTGTCTCCAAGCACAGATGGCAATGCGACTTTAAATCCAAGTCTTCTTTCTGAGAATCAACATGGCTGATGAAGTAAATGTGTCAATTTGATGAGAGGAAACATGACAGTCATTAGTTCAGTTTTTGCTCCAATCATTTCTATCCTGCAACAATTACACAATCATAGCTGTACTTATCATGCAACAGTTTCAGCACTTTGCGCTGAAAGCTCGTGGAGGGGCATCATGAAATCAGGCCAAGCAAATGATGATACTGTTAATAATGCTGATACTGTTTTTATTCATGAGCCCAGTGTCCCAAGAGCCATGTGCGTGGTCAGTGGCATCAATATCATTTGGCAAGCACTACTATGAATTCAGTCTCTTATTGTGTTATCGCATAACACCTTTCTGTTACAGTGGGAGCTGGAGTGCAGTGTGAGACAGAATATACTCCCACAACATGT